GGTGGTGGTGGTGGTGGCAGCAGCATCATGTCGTTTCGCTTTAAGGTTCACGGTCGGCCGGTATTATTCAAAACCTGACACTCCAAAGGCTTGGCCAGACAGGATTGAGGATATAGGGCTTGTGAGGTTTAGAGCAGCTTCCGCCAGACAGTAGTGGCGCCATAAAGACTACATGAACTACGTTTGCTCACGGCTCCCAAGGCCTGCTGAAACCGTCCAACTGAAGGATTGACCTCCAATCTTCAGTTGTTCCTTTCCCTGGAGCCTGCAGCCCCGAACCGTCTAACTGAAGTGCTCGGCCATGCCCGCGAGTCCTGCAGCCCCTTTCTGTCTCCTCCGACACTGCCACGAGTAGAAGCATCACCCACAATAGCAGTGCTGTTGATCATGATCACCTTTGGATGACGACGAAGAGCGGAACTACACTAGCCTCATCAAGGCCGTGTTGCAAGCTCTTTGTTGCCGAAGCAATGCAACCCCATTCACAAGCTGAAGCAAGCGACCTCGGAAGTTCCTCTGCACTGTCCAGGCACTGTCTCAGCTCTTGCCCTGCTCTCTATCGACGGGGAGAGGTTGACACGCTTGCTGCAGACGCTGGCTTCCGTGCTCTTGCTTGGACAGCCTCATGGCTACTGACATATGCTCAACAGACTTGTCATTGCTTTCATTTCTGCGGCAGGCTCTGAGCTTACAAGTACGAAGCAAAAACGAAGAGCTGCTTTGGAAGCGATCCGGTACGTGCGAGGGGGAAGAAACTGTAACATACACTTCTTGTAAGGCTGGAGTTTGCAGGAAGCCACTTGTCGGCAGTTTGTTTAGCCTCCCTCAAGCTGCTCATGCCTGCTGTTCGCGGGCGGTTGAGCCTTGTACAATGGTGGGAATACAGGATTCTAAACCGAACATCCTACTGGAGAGTGATTGGAATGAACTGACTTTGGACTTTCGAATGTGTTGCTTGAGCGCATTACGAAATTTCATGATTGCAGACTGCCTCGAGCCTTGTTCATTTCCATCACGGCCTCAGTCAGTGCAAACCCATACCCCCTTCTTTGACTGGCTACTGCTCACTCTCTTCGGTCATCCCATCATACAGTGGGCAGCATGTCAACAAGCCAGCTTACATGAGACCAGAGGTAAAGTGAGTCACATCTGCAGGCGACGAGTCCTCGAAGCTGGCAGACTGTGCTGGACAGGCTGCAGCTGCAGCCCAAGTGCTGGCTGTAGATGCCGGTCACCCAGGACGTCAACAACGACTCTATTTCACAAGTTCCGCCTTTGTAGATGAATTTGGGCCATGCTGCTGCAGATTAGGTCGGTGAGCTGGAGTCACCCGTCAGCCGATGAGCAACAGACACCGTCATGGTGGTCTTGCAATGTCTTGCTCACCAGTCTGGTCAAGATGCTACCGCAAGCGATCAAAACACGGGATGCAAGGCAAGCGCTCACACACCGCACCCTGCGAATGCGGAACGAGAAGGTTGTGAAGCAGCTCCCACCATCCAGCGCCACAGGGAATCGCCTGAGGCCAAGACCCTTCGTGCAGAGAGTTCGAGTTTCTGTGGACTGCTGAAGCCTTGTGCGAATCCCTTGCCGATGACAGTTTGCAAACTTCGGGGGATGAGGTGATGCTCTGGCGAAGGAAATTTATGCACGAGTGCAGGGGGCCCGAGCAGATTACCCGCTTCGTCGTGCGTGGAGCAATACCCGATGGGCACCACATGCCAATTTGAACAGGTTCGATTGGCTGGTGGAGCAGATCTGCCAAGCAACTGGTGCGCCACCTGAGCGCGCGATTAGCTTTGTCGGCTCCTCGCCCTTGCAATCGCAAAGCCAAAGTGAAGCATTTGACAATATTTGGTAAGACTAGCGGGGAACGGCTGCGACGGCTGCAACATACATTCTGGCATTCTGAGGCTTGTTGGACGCTTGACTGCAAGTTTAGGATCCACCATTCATGAGCTGCCTAGCCTTCGCCGTCCCAACTGTGTTCTATGTTGTCACGTCGCAGGGAAGTGCAATTTGCGAGGACATTTTCGGCTTCGAGTCCTTTGCCATAAACCGCTTCGAACAGCAGCTCGGAAGAACTTGACAGCCGAAGTCTCTGAGCTCATTGAAAGCCGCGTCTTTGCAGAAATTGTATGTCCGTCCGTCCTTCTAATTCTAGTCACAGAGGCTACTGACGACTTCACTGCAAGATCAAACATTGACGCTGAGCATGCCTGCACATGTGATCCTTGTCGCAAGCTGATGCTTGTGCCTTGTGACGTGCGATTGGGAATCGAGGCTTTGCATTAATTATGCAAACGAGAAGCTCCAGCAGAAGTTTACTCATGACGTCTTCAAGGCCGTGCAGCAGGAATACACTGCGGAATCCTGCATGCAGCAAGGTCGAGAGCGGTTGGGGGATCGGCCGTGTGATGCTAGAAATGGAATCGTTCGATCTCGTGATGATGCTCCCCGGTTTTGTCTGGAGGCGACGCATGTAAGGGGCCGTGCATTCAGGCACATTTCAGACGCATTTCGAATTGGGGTGAGGGGGGTTGAGCGGGGCGGCTTGATTCCGTTCTTGCGCCTACTATGTGTTTCTTGCGGGATGGGTTGGGGGGAGGGGGCGGGAGCGACCTTGTTTTAAAGATGCACCCTGCTACTCTTCATTCATGGTCATGGTGATGGATGCTGATGTTGCGGGGTGGGGGGGGGGGGGGGTAATGACGTCCCGCTTGTGCTCACCATCATGGGTCATGATGGTGCTGGATGATGATGCTGATGGTCATTCTTGTCCTCATGTTTGCCATGGTGGTGCTCATCAACTTCTGCAGTCTCTCCTGTCGCTTCCTCTCGAGCTCCGAGCTCCTTCCGTGAACGTAGTCGATATGCCGGTAGGACCAACTTGTCACGTATCTCAAGCCTTGCGGATTCCTTTTCATGGAAGCTTCAAGGCCTTACCATCTAAGCGCGAAACCTGTAACATGACTGTGCGTGCGCAAAATGATTCAAACGTCCCTGCATTGTGCCAGAGCCGGATTTTGCGGGTTTTATTCTTGTAAATGTCCCTTGCCAGGAGGGGGGGCAAGTCTGGGTTTTCCCTGCAGTGCGACCTAGTCAGCGAAGCGGGTGGGAAAAAAGAGCCCCCTCTGCCAAAAAAAAGCTTCCGACAACACAAGATGCATACAGTGTAAAACCTGTCCCGCTATGGCGAGGGCACGATGTAGAAGTAAAAATACTCTTGAGACTTGAAAATTAGACCCAGCGAAAAAAGCTCGACAAAAATCGCACAGATGCAGCGCGAAAATGCATTTTCCCGAAAAGTTGAAATGAACCTTTTCGACACCTGCGAAAGCTCCTCGCCCATGCAAAGCGCACGTTTCGCTCGAGTTTTGGCCCCCGCCGTGTTGTACTTACAAAAAAGCGTCTCCAAACGCACGGCCCCTCAAGGGCGCCATCACCTTGGTTGTGGCTATCTAGTGAATCTAGTTGGTTGCTGGCGCACAGATCCGATCGCATGGTGAGTTTTCGGGCGGCCGGCGCTACAAGTGCATCTCTGTCGTGCTGTTTCATGCGAGTTTCTGTGCATGACGACAGAGAAGAACCACCTTCGGGCCTGCATATGGTTTACAGAACGACTTACCATTTTCTCACGATGAATGGGTGCTCCCGCCCGTTCGGTCTATGTGTGCGTGCGTGCGCCTGTTTGTGTGTGCTCTGTTTGCATCATGTGGTTGTGATTTGCCAGTGCAATCTGTATGCACCTAGTGACCTATAGTGATCAAGGCGTACGCACGTGAAGCTGCGTGGATTTGTGTTTGCCAGAACGTGTAAGTCGAAGAGCTGGGCATGCGCAGGCGTCTGGGCTTGTCATTGTAATGTTATGTTATGGCACGGCCTGTTTATGTTTAAGTTTATGTTTAGTTATGTTATGTTATGTTATGCTGGAGGCTTAGTGTTGCAGTGTGTGATGTTCTAAACTGTTGTGTTCTGTTATGTGCCATGTTGTTCTGCTGGGTTCTTTAACTTTATGATAATCTGACATGTAGTGTATGGATGATTGGAGGGGTGGATGAATAATGAATAAACAAGTCCATGCACAGACTTGAGCTCCCTGCTCTGCCTCTGCACCTAGGAAGGCATCCCTTGGGATCGCATTGAGTTCAAAGACAACGCGCCAATTTTAGCTTTGCAGCTCGGCGGGGCATTGCGATTCTACGCTCTGGGGGCTTTGCGGTTGGCAGAGAACGGAAAGAAAGAGATGCATGCAGAACATGCCAATCCGAGGATTGAGTCGAAGCTGGGCATTGTGGCGATGCTGAATGAAGAGTGTGTTCGACCAAAAGGTTCGAACGAGTTCCTTGGCCAGATGTCCGACATGGTGACGTCGGCGCTCGTCGTCTCAAGGTTTTCGAAGTTTCTGCGACGTCCACAGGCAGACGTAGCTCCACCTGGGTAAGGAACTTCGTGTCCAAGTTGCTCTCGGTGCACAAGGAGGATGGGGCCTTCTCGGTGCCCAAGCTGGGCAAGATGAGAAGCTCGGGCTCGGACTTGCTTAGGCGGATGAATTCTTTGAAGGGCAGACAGTTGAGCCCAAGGAGAGCTACAGTTCTGCATCCGCCACTACGCCGGTGAGGCTGGCGGCTGACATGCGCATTTTGTCCGAACGGATGTTCCAAACTGACGTGGCTTTTTTCTGTCAGGTGATGTACACAGCGGAGGGCTGGCTGGATCGGAACAACGACACTGTTTCCGAGGAGAAGCTGCTCCCGGTTATTGCTGAAGCCTTTGCCGAACCGTAGGCAGTCAAGCACAGATAGATCTGATTTGCAGCTGGTGCTGGTGAGCTTGCTTGATGAATTTGTGCCGGAGCCCGTGAGAGACAGGATGTCATAAACCTCATGCGGGGCTCGGGAAACGAGCTTCTGGCCTCGCTGTTTACAGAGGAGACCCAGGCTGTGCGTTGCCGAATATTTTTCCTGCGGTAAGCGGACACTGTCAGAAGAATCCATGATGGTTTGTTGTGTTGCTTGAGAGGAGTCCAAAGCAAAGCGGGACACTGCAGCCCGGCTGCAGCCTTGCCCGCCTGGGCCTAGTATAGCCGAGAGGAGTGACTCCACTTTGACTCATACTGTCAGTGCAGCTGGCATGTTTTCGCGGCATGGTACAGGAAAGGGGTTGATAGACTGATATACTTTGAAGCGCATGCGCTCTCGGGACTGAAGCAAAGGTTGTCACCAAGTTCAAGACATCGCTCTCGCAGCTGATGGAAACCATCGGGCAGACGAACACACAATATGTCAGGTGGGTGACCTTGCGTTCAAGCTGAAGCCAAATTTGGTACCATGTCGCCTCACCCATTGCTGCTGGTACTGGCATGTGTACTTGCAAAGCCACCAGGTGCATCAAGCCCAACCAGAACAAGTCCCCTAGGGAAGTCAACAATGTGCCTGTGCAGCACGGAGGACAAGGACCACAAGCTTCACCGGCTACGGCTGCATGTTGTTCTACAGCTCATGTCACCAAGGAGATGGTGGTCGATCAGCTGCTCGGCATGATCCGATCAGCACTCGCTGGATGCGCAGGCGACTTTTGCAATACGTATGTTCCTTGTGACTATACTTTCACAACCGTGTACGTCTCAAGCATCTTCCAGCAGCATAGCATCTGCGACACAGTTGCAAAGTGTTTGCATGCGTTTGTCGTTCATGACTCCAAGGTGTTCCAAGAGCTCTGCAAATGCGTGCTTAGATTGTCGTTGTTTGTTCATGCTCGTGTCGTTTTTTCGCATGGACCCAATCGAAGCCATGACCTTTTGTTCGGCCGTGTTGCTACCTTCGCGGACTTGCCACAAATACGAGAATGTTTACCGTTCCTATGAAATGCTGGGGCATGCTGGGGCTGGAACTTTCGAACTCCCTTGACCGCCTGTGAGTCAGCTTGCTTGGCAAGCGTTGTTCGAGGGGCGTGGCAGCGTTACCATCTGTAGGACAGCATATCTCAATTTTGGTTTGGGTTTGGCTTCAAAAGGCTTCCCGCCTGCTTCGATTCATGCGACTTCGCTAGTCGTGTTCTGTGTTTCGTGGAATCTCCGAGACAATTCAAAAACTGGGACCTAGATGCAGACATAAAGGAAGGCCCGTGAGTGCTCCCGACCTCGAGGTGCATCAGGCTATCTTCCTTTTCGGATCAATCCTACTGGGAGTAGCAAGTTGGTAGCCGCTGGCACGCCGCTGTCGGCGCAGTATGAGCATCATCGGTCATCACGAGAGACAGTAAGACGAAGCGTTTGCCAAGTGCGTGGCGCTACATGCATTTGAGGTTACGCTGCGCTGGCGTCATAGAAGCCATCCGCATCTCAAGAGCAGGCTTTCCAGCGAGGATGCCATTGAGGGCAACCTGATCGCAAGTTGAATGTGCTGTCCCGAAGTAAGCACACAGCACTGCGTCCCCGACTCTGCCACCCACAGTTACTTAGAACAACAAGCTCCCATCTCAAACGTCATCCTGATTTGCACTTCCATGCGTAATTACTCCGTTTAGCGGGCGTCTCTGGCAAAACTGCATAGCTTGGGCCCAGCCTGTAGCGAGAAGCCTTGCCTGTCCTGCCCAGCGTATGCCAAAAGTTCAACTAGTGGTCTAAACTGGAGACTGCCTGCGTGCATCGATGATGAGATGAGATTGATGAGATTGGGAAATAAACAAAAGTCCTGGCGGAAGACAGAGTTCGACTTGTGGAATACTTCAGCAAATCGGCTACTACAGCTACAGTCTAGAGTTTGCTTTTGCCAAAGCAGCGCTTCAGGTTGAAATCCTCATGGCAAGGCTTTCCGTAGCACAGTTGCCATTCCAGCTTAGCATGATTAGTCTGATTAGGGCAAGATTTGCCTGCCGTGCAGATAGGCCATAACTCTAGAAAGTCGTGGGCCTTTCAGCGAAGGATTTTTCTCAGCGCTTTCAGCTGCTGGTTCAGAACTACTCTGCGGCCTCTTTGGCTTCTCATGCCGAGAAGAATGTAGCGGCCCGCTGCCTAGTCTGATGTCTACAGACATTGGCTTGCATGTTCTTTTCGTTTGCGTCCATGGCCCCGTCAGGGCTTAGTACTTTTAGTGTTCTTAGAGCGCTGGAGCAGTCAGGCCCTTGGCGGTGACGATGCAGCAATCTGCCGAAGGTTGTTGGGCGCTTTGGTGAAAGATGAGGAGAAGTACCAGGTTGGGCGCACACGTGCCGCCTGGATGCACGCCAGTAGCACGCCGCACCACCTTAAGGCCATAAGGCTCATGTAGGCCATGCGCGCCACTGCATTAGGCATGCAGGAGATGAGGAGTGTCATCAGTTCCGGAACAGCCTGCCCATGATTACTGGGCATCCGCACCCAAGGTCTACTTCAAGAGTGGCGTTTTAGAGTCGCTGGAAGAGAGGCGCGCACTGTTGACACTTGGTTTCAAATCGAGTTGCTTGAAATCATGTCTTTCCGCTGCTAAAAAGCTTCGCCTAAGCCCAGGATGCAAGCGGCGGCAGTGGAGTTTGGCACCAAGTTAGCTTCGTCAGGTTTCGCCTCAGTACATGGATGATCCGGAGCTAAATGTGGGTTGAATCTGGCAACTGCGTTACAGACAAGGCTCGCGCGCATGGTGCGCGGTCACCAGGCCAAGAAGCAATTCCGACAGATGCAGATGGTTGCGAGGCGTGCATCTGCTGTGTGTTTTGATGCTGGGGCCCAGCTTCCCACGCTCCCACGAGCTGAAGTGGAGTCTTTGGGCGAGTCACTTTGGCTTCAGATGCCATTGTCCCTTGGGAGTTGCGGTTCGGGTCTGCTCAGGCGTGATAAAATGAGATGTGTTTGTATCAGTCTATGTCATGACATGTCTCTTGTCTATCTTCCTGTCTCTATCTGAGTCTCTGGCTCTCTCTCTCTCTCCCTGTCTCTCTTCTCTCTCTCTCTCTCTATCGCTCTCCTGTCTGTATCTATCCATGCATCTATCTAGCTGATCTGTCTGTCTACCTGCCTACGTATCCAGCTATAGATCTGTCTAATCATCTGGTCATTTGCCTATCTGTCTTTCTATCTTTCACTTGTTTTCTGTCTATCTGATTTATGCATCTATTGATTTGTCTCCATCTATCTGTCTATCCAGCCAGCCATCCAGCCATCCCCGTCTGTAAATCCATCCATCAATCTCTAGCGTTTTCCCTCTGTTGCCATTTGTCTGTCTATCCATTGAGCCCCGTGTGCGCGTACATGCACACACACAAGCACACACGTGTATATAGTTACATATCGATCACAACACTAGGACACTCAACCAGCAGGTTTCACTGGAAGAAAGCAGTTCTCGAGCAAAAATTACAGACTACAAAGACCTACGCGGCTGTGACCCCTAGGGGATGGCTGGCTGCTGGCTGTAAATTGGTCTGCCCTTTACCTCGCCTGATTCGTCGAGCGCGAGTGCTAAAAATATAGTTACATATGTGTATATACATACATAACATAGCATAATTTTATATAGTTTATAATTATCCCCTTACATAATGTGTTTTTATGTGTGTAGATATATACATATGCATGCGGTCACAAGAGACAGTCACATTCTGCGTGGGCAGACACAATGATGCAAGCTTTGTCATCAACTGCTACACTAACTTCCTACCACACCACCACTACAGGCTTCTCCGTCCGTGACAAGAGAACCCGATCTCTCACAACAAGGCTTGCAAGAAAGCAGCACAAAGACGGTGACACTCCATGTTGGACGCAACTGTCAAAAAACACATCGTCTAACTTGACTCTTGACATCAGCCTTTGGCATCAAGAGCCTGCTGCTCGGCCACAGCTTGCAGGTGCACACAAGCGATGTGGAGGATGACTGTCGCCAGAGCGGTTGCTCGACGAGTACCAGTAGAGCAGATGCCGCAAGTGCCCGCCTCGATCAGGCTCCAGAGCATGCCTGCTAGTTTTTCGCAAGGCTTTCCAGCGTGTTCGACGGGCTACCGTATTCTGCCACAGCCCCAGAAAGATCCAACTCGCACTGTCTTTGCTGAATAGCTACTGGCAGCTGGTCACCATGACCTGTCTGAGAGCAGGTTCTGGAATCATGTCATGGCAGGGCCAAACGCATCTGACCAATGCAAGGCTTGGCTCAGATCGACACGCGTTCTTGTTAGTTGCTGGTGCCCGTGATAGAGCCTGGAAGAGATGGCGAATCCGACCGCAACCTTTGAGACCACGATGGGCAACTTCACTGCAGAGCTGTACCTGGACCGAGTTCCTCGCACGGCATCGAACTTTATCGACCTTGCCAATTCTGGCTTCTACAATGGCTTGCACTTTCATCGTGTGATCCCGGGCTTCATGAATCAGTTTGGCTGCCCGTACTCAAAGGATCCGAAATCCACCCGGGCTGGAACAGGAGGACCGCCAGATGGCAGCTTCAAGAACCTGAAGACAGGGGCGACTGAGACACGCACCCGTGGTGGCAACATCCAGGATGAGAACATCTCCAAGGACACGAACGCGCCGGGCACCCTGTCCATGGCCAATACAGGCGAGGCACACACTGGAGGATCTCAGTTCTTCATCAATGTGGCCCACAACAACTTCCTTGATTGGTTTGACAGCTCAAGCCCCTCTTGTCACCCAGTCTTCGGTCAGATTACATCGGGTATGGATGTGGTTGAAGCTATCTCCAAGGTGCAGACTCGTGACGACAACCCCATTAAGCCCGTCATGATGAACAAGATCACGATTTCCTGAGCTGAGGGCTGGAAATCTGGCAGATGCCAGGTTTGACGCTCCTCTTGACCCCACCAGTGGCTTTGGCGCCATACCTTTTGACAGCTGCTGGAATTCCCAAGCAGCCTCCTCAGCCACTGTGCGGCATCCGATATCAATACCATCGTTCCATACCAATACGATTTTGTATAATCTTGGCTGCGACGCGCGGCAGGCAGCGATGGTCGAACAGCTGGTGACAAAAAAGGACCGCGCTCCTATGCCTAGCTCAGCACAACTCTGCCAGTCGCACATGTGCCTATGCCTGGGCGTGCTAACAAATGTGCGTGCCGTTTGTTTGTACTGGATGGAGGGTTGAATGCATGATGGGTGGAAGATGCATGGATGCATGCATGTTTGTTTTTATGCATGTCTGCACGCATGTCGCACTGTATGCATGTATGTACGCAAGTATACATGTAGGTATGTATGTATAGGTAACAGGCAACAGGCAGTATGTCCGTATGTGTGAATGTATGTACGTTGTACGTATGGAGGTCTGCATAGAATGATGGCTGGGTGGGTGCTTGGGTGGGTGGGTGGGTGGCTGGGTGGGTGGGTGGATGGATGGATGGATGGATGGATGGATGGATGAACATGCATGCATGCATGCATGCATGCAGGCATGTGCACATGCAGGTATAATGTAACAGCGACTTCAGTGGCAGATGTATGGCATCTTCAAGCTAAGGTCAAGCGCGACGACGCGCAGTCCTGGCAGAGCGGAGGCGTGATGACAGACCTGTCGACCCGGCCAGAGGTTCGAGGTTTAACAAAATCTGAACTCACAGTGATCAAGGCTCCAGGTGTTGCGGCGAGAGAAGGCCGCGACGGCGTTGCAGGCGGCTTGGCGCCGGCGGGGCGCCCTGCTCGACGCTCGCTTGCAAAAGAATTCCGAACTAGCCTGAAGTTGCATCTGTGCCCACTGTGCCCACCTGAGGCATCTCTGAAGGGAAGCCAGTGCTGAGCTTCCGTAGCCCTGCTTCCAAGGAACTGGCAACAGCAAGGAAGGCAGCAATCCGTCTGCAAGCCTTCGCAAGGAGAGCCTCCGGTCCGAACAACAATTGGCACTTGATCGCCATGCCTGTGTTGGCATTCTGAGCGGCTCCTTTGCAGGCGATGGCTATGCAGACGGCACTACTTGGTGAGTTTGGCTGAGTTCAAAGAACAGGCAGCCAACGCTAAGAAGTTTAGTAGTCCCAAACTTTTGCAGAGCAGCGGCAGAGTTCATGAGCGCATGCAGCGGCCTTGTGCCAGTGCAGGCCAAGCTGGAGAATCAGGTGTTGCTTGGCTGCACCTGCCGGTGCGCTGCGCAAGTTGGTGCTTTTACATCCGGCTACTTTCCCGGATTCCCATGTGGACTGCTAGCTGCTGCTAGCTCAGAGCAGAAAGGAAAGCGCTCAAAGCCAAGCTGGAGGCGCAGGCCTCTCACTGTGCAATTGGCTTCAGCTCGATGTGCTGTGACCATCTGCCTGGAATGCGGGAGGCTTCCAACATGTGCAAGTCGAGCTTGACGCAAAGTGCAAATAGTGCCGAGGAGCGCGCGGCGGCCAGCGCAACATCAGCAACTTCATCCGAGGCACCGGAATTCGGGCTTTGCTACATTGGGGATAGCAGCACACCGTCGTGCCTACGCACAATGATCAAGCACGAAGTGTGCTTGAGTTGCTCTCAGGCTACACAGGCACCTGCTGAAATTCTCGAAGCCCTTCAAGCCCTGGCAGCAGAGAACGCGAAGCTGCACATGGACCCGACGAGATCCGACGAGTGCTGTGCAGCTTCCCAGTCACCAGCTCGTGTGTTGAGAAACCAAAATGATGCAGGCCGTTGAGCATGTGCCTGCTACAGGAGCTTGACAAACTGCGTGCCGAGAATGACCAGCTTCGTGCGGCCCTCATGTCGAGCCCAGTTCAACTTTGCAACACACTTGTTGATCGTGAGATCCTGTGACTACCCTGCCACTGCATATCAAAAAACGTTTCTTGCTTGGTTACTTTTCAACGAGGTCGTCAGAACCACCAGCTGCGCGCCTCGGAAACGACACGGGGCGCCTGGCTGCAATCCTTCACACGTGCCTTGGCTTGACGCACTGACATGACAAATCATGACAAGGCCCTGCAACTGCGCAATCAAACCCGGATGGGCGGATGCCGTGTGTTTAAACTACTATGGTAGAGTGATCGTTTGAATGTTGCAACCATCCTTCGGAATTGCGAAAGGTTCCCGCAAACACATGGAGGATGACCGGTCCGTCGGCAGTGTCACGGCGGCGCATATCGATAGTCGCAAGCGGTCCGGCATGAGCCCTTGCGTTCAGGGAAGTTGTCTTCAACGCTCAGGAGACAACGCTTCAGAAGCTGATAGAGAGGACCTGTGCAATTTGGAAAACTTATTCAACAGTTTGCAATCGGAAGGGGTGCAACGACGGCCGAAGGCACCACAACCCTAGGCTAGATGTAGCAGACGGCGCAAGAGGGGGGTAGGGGGCCCTTCCGAGCGAATATTATGATCACCACCCTGGCATGAACTGAGCCCTTCGAACGTGATCAGCCCGAAGACAGCTCACTGCTGCGAAAAGCGTCTTTTTGGTTAGAGTCGTTTGGAACCAAGACCTCCAGTTTTCCTTCATTACACCAAATAACTCGATCTGACAGTGCGAAACTGACGGTGTTGTGCTGGCGCATGCAGCGGGATCCAATCTGGATGAGCGGTAGCGACAGCGAGTGCTGCAATCCGATCCGAACCAACCGCTGAAACTAAGAAGTCACAAGCAGGAAGGATACCAGTTGTTAACAGCTCATTCGACAGGTCAAAGCTTCATTGTCAAACAAATTCAAACAAGATTCACAAGCGAGATATGTTTCTCAGAGAATTCGCCACTAGTTGCTCACCCTTATGCCGCGGTTGCTAAGTCTTGCAGCTCCGAACTCCACTACATTCATAACACACCGCACAGCAAGCCATATTGGGTGCTCAGGGGAGCCGCGGGGAGTGGGTATGTGCCCTGCAGGACCCTGCCGCCCTCACCCCTCGTGCTCTTGCGACGCCACCTGGCTTCAATGCACAGCCTGGAAGGGCGTTTGTGTGAAAGTGTGGGAAAAGTGACCTTCGCGTTCCTGGTTATCCGTCGCAGCAACCTCAGGACAACGCCGGACAATGCCCACCAGCAGGTGCTATCCCTGCAACTCTACCCACCGCTCAACCAGTTCTGGGAGGAACGGTCCTACAGTCGCGTGCATAGGCTCAGGGCTGGCAGTTTACAAGAATTCTGGAAGGTCCTTACGTGCACACAGTGCTCGATAGTGCCCTGCATCCGCAACTGGCCGCGCTTCAAGCAAGTAAGCTTCTAGCACCAAGCTTCCAGCACTAGCCACACCTTCATCAAGCACCAAAACAACAATATGCACCAAACACCTGTCTGCCGGCAACCATCCTGGCCAAGGGCAGTGTGCGACGGAAAAGAAACCGCTGCTGTGCTGAGCCTTTGGTGCATGGCTTGGTGCCTGAACCGGGGGTTCGTCGTGCATGGTGCGCGAAAACGTTGTCTACCCACGGTGCTCGACTGTTTTGGCGAGGACGTGCCCTGCAGAGGCATCCCATACTTGCAGACGGGTTCGCTTGTGCACGTCAAGATGGGCCCCAACATCCTCCTTGTGGACCTTCATGGCAAGAGCCTGGTCTGGCAGGTGCGGGACCCACAGCATCTCGTGCATGCTGCAACCAAGATTACCCTTGTGCTATGGCTGCTATGTTGTGCTTGGCAGTACAGAACAGAGTCAACGGCGTAGCTGTGCGACAGAGCTGTAGGAAGCTTCCGGCAGTTCCCCTGCCAAGCAAGAAGGTTTAATTTTCCAAGACCATGCGGCACCTGTAGCTGAAGCCAGCAGCAGGCATGCAACCAGTTTCTTCGGCGGCCCTGGTACTGTAGAGAGCAATGCAGAAGGAGAGGCTCCAAAAAGCAGGAAATCGTTCTTTGCTACTTCCCAGAAATGAACTCCGCCTGCCCCAGTCCTTTCGGAACCCGTCCGTCTACAACTTTGGATCACAGTTCATTGTGTTTCCCATTGGGCACATGCATGTTTGGAAGTGTCGGTCTGTCTCTCTCTGCTCCGGTTTCGGTCCCTCCATCCGGGCACCGTCTTGATCAGGGTTTCCCTCGGTGCATGCTCTTGAGCCGAGATGGGTGCGCGATTAGTTGTGCAATGCGTTGTCGCGATCACTGTGCCTCCTCCTGCTGCAGCAAACTTACCTAAGCCCTGCACGAATGTTTGTGGTCGCCCAGGCATGGATGTGCAACCATAGTGGGTATCGCAGCAGCATGGGCTTCATTGTGGAGCGGTGCGTTGAGCAGAAGCCCAAGCCAAAGCGATTCTCCTTGCTCGGCGGCTCGGTGCAAGGGCTTTCGTCAGCGAGTGCATAAACAGGCCAAATAGGCTTCGCGACGCCATTGCCCTGCAGGAAGCTCGCCAAAAGACGAAAGGGCCTGCCAGGAGGGCAACATCGGTGAAGCATTTGTTCTCCGATCAAGTTGGACTAAGACCCGTGGGCTTTGTTAAAGGCTGCATGTTATGAAAAGCATCCTGTCATGTTCTACCGGCTTGTGCGTCTCGTTGCCGCCTGCTAAGGAAGTACGTGAAGATTGGAGGACTTCTCGACTGGTATGCTCTACAAGTCTCAGGCAGGCATTTTGCCAAAGCCGTGCAAACCCCGCCCCAGCCAGAATGGAAAATCCCAGGCCGAAGTGCCGATGACGCAGCCGTGTTCACTCCCAGGCCTCGCAGACCTGAAAGAAAAGATTGAAGCTTGACTCTTCTTGCCTCACTCCTTCATACCTGTCAGGCCGTTGAACTGTGGCGAGCTTCTCAGTTTGGGGTGTTCAAGGCTTCTGCGGTGTTTCAAGTCGGCCGAGCCAAGGAGGTCACAATGAGTGTCGACCTCGGTCCATCTTTCGGCATTTCTCCGCACTCAGCAAAGGCACGTGTCTTTGGCTCCGGTTCAATACGCGACCTCGCCTACAGTCTCGAGTTGGTAGCCCTGCACGAGCCCTAAAGCTGTTGCACAAGGTCATACAGCTTCGCGTTGAAGCTGCACGGGAAGGACAAATATCTGAGCCTGCAGCCAGACGGTTCGGTTTCAGTGGCCACTCGGAGCAATTCAACGATGTGCACGAAGGCCCTGGATACGGATCACTGGAAATTGCGCCGTCCCATCTGCACATGCTCTGAGGACAAAGTATCCGATGATTCCGTGGGCAACAACCACAGCCTCATTGCAGGCTTCGAGTGCTTGTTGCCAGCTACGTCCTATGACATTGCTCAGCACCCAGCTCCTGGCACTGTAATGCAACTTACAAGCGGGGCTGAAGTGATACGGAAGTTTCCAGGTTATCTACGAACAGCAGATTGGTCTGACCGTGAGCAAGGACTTGCCACTGCGAGTAGTTGGAGCCAGCCTCAATGATGCGACATATTGCACAGCATATCAAGGCACTTATTTCATGAACCGCCACAAAGCCAGCCCTTCGCTGTTTGAACTGGTTCGGTCCGGCCCGAGGTTTCAAGAACGTGGTGCATGTCTCCGGGCGACCACCGGAGGCAGGCCCCGCCGAAGCCAGCGGCCGCGTTCGGGTGGGTGTGGACCTCGTTTGATTGCCCGGCAGCCGAAATTCAGAAGTACTGTACCTGTACCAGCAATAGTAATGGACAACAGCAACTTCAATAGTATAGTGATACCGCAGAGGCACACGGTCATTCTGGGAAGATGATTGCATTGCCTGAGTTGCAAATGCTGGATGCTTCATTCCATGACCGAGGTGATGTGATCACCTCTGTTAACGGACAGGACTGGCAAGCGGAAGGTAACAGACCCGAAGCTGCGCGGGTGTTTCCGCTTTGAAGCATGCCAGCGAGACATGTGTCATCGCGTCGCATGTACTGTCTGCCTGCCGGAACACAAGTCATGGACATCGACAAACCTTATTGATCATGCTGTTCATCCTGTAGTCTTCGCCACCTGCATGGTCGCAAACATCCTAAGAAGTTCTGTCAGGACGTGACAAAATGGGAGCGCCAGGCCGTGCTCAGCCTGATCAACGAGAAGCGGCCAGTGACCCTTCGGTTTCTGTCGAGACTCGACTGTTTCTTGGGTGATTCACCTTAGGATCTTAGAATCCTTACAGTCCGGAAAGGGATTCCGAGCGCTTCGTGCGAATTGACTCAGGATTGATCCGACCTGAGGGCCGTCTCACGTTAATGCTGCAGGCCAAAGTGGTTTGCATTTCTGGGCTTTGTGCCATGCCGGAGATGTCTCGGTGCCGTCGACTTCAGACGAAGTCAGAAGAAGCCCCCTCAAAGCAACTACGCGCAAGCAACATCTTCGGTTGCCCCCTGCCCATTAGCAGATCGTTTTCCCGTGTATGTTGAAAAGGGGCGTCAGGCAACGTACCTCCTGCACCGCAGCGCTTCACAGAACTGCTCACGGTCTCCATTTCGGGTTATTTTGCAGAGATCCGGAAGCTTCGGCCATGCTGCATCCTCTACGCACTTGTTACCGAGACACTCACAAGCCATGGTAGATTCCGGCAGACCCAAGAGTCACGAAACATTTGAGCGGCTTGGACGAGAATCGTACTGATTCGGTTTTCTGAGGCAGAGTGGCAGGATCGCTTGGATCAGGCTGCCAAGTCCGCCACTCAGCTTTCTCCTTGGCACAGGCAGGGTAAGGCAGAGTGGCTTGCCTTGGCTTTGCAGAAGGAACAGACGCTTATCTTCTTAGGCGAAGAAGGATTGATCAAGAGCAGACGCAGACTGAGCACCTTGCCCTGCAACTGCAGGGCTCTGGGGGAAGTGCATGCAGAGCTGCCAACATGGCCAACTTGCTGGGAGGCCGAACCACACCAGTGACTGCGAAAGCCAGGAAGTTGGAGGCAGTCTGGGAGCTCAGGACAGCCGGCAGTGATGGTATGGGCTCATGGGATTTTGGTGGATGATCCAATGTGGTTTCCAACGATGTTTATGTGCAGGATCCTCTGGCATACCTGAGCGAAGCGAGCAGTGATTGTAAAAAAGCGCAGCATTTCCTGAGTAGCCAAGGACTTTCTGACATGGACGGGTTCATGTTCGCCCCAGTGCAGCCTCGTCCCTGCTGCTTGTTTGCTCGAGATTGACATTGACGAGAGTAGGCTTACTGCCCTGGTGTTGGCATCATGTTGAAACGCATGAAGAGCAGCCTAATATGGGCACTGGCGGAGGATGGGTTACCTGACGACAGCACAGCACTAATCCGCAATCTGGTGAGCGGCAAGGCGGGACCACTGACACTGCCGGATTTCCAGCAGCTCTTCATCGCATCACGCGGCAGGTGGTCAGAGGCTGTGATTCTTCTGGAAGAGTTGAGGCGGCGGGATCTGCAACCAACAGCCTTTCAGTGGCAGCGGGACTACGGCTGGGTAACAACGGCCCTTGAAACATCAGGGATGTGGCAGAAGGCGTTGGAGTTGCTGAAAGGGATGGCCTTAAGCGATCTGGAACTGAACCACGTCGCCGAGACCGCATCCGGCTGGCGACTTCGTGGTGGAGCTGGGAAAAATGCCAGGAAAGAAGCAACAGAGGCACTACTGAATCCAAGATTGCGGAAGATGCTCATACTTAGATTGTATACTGCAAAAGCCAAAAAGGATGCTGAAGATGTAGAGGCAGTGGCCACTACCCTTCGCAGCTACGGAGTCCCGAAACCTCGAGACTATGTTGTTCTTCTGTCTGCATATGGTGCAGTCAGTTTGTGGCCTTCTGCGCTGGGGGTGTTAGAGGAAATGCAGACTCTGCAGTTTGCTCCCTACATTGTCAGCTACAATGCAGCTCTGAAGGCATGTGAGAGAGGTTGCCAGTGGTCTGCTGCTCTGGCGCTGTTTCATGACATGCCTGATGTAATGTTGACCCCAGACCAGATCAGCTACACCGCTCTCATCGAGAGCCTGGGTCAACAGAAGTTGTGGGAGGAGGCTTTGCAGCTCCTGGCGAGGATGGACACGGAAGGCACAGCACCGGACGTAGTGGCATACAGCGCTGCTATGGCAGCATGCGCCGGAGTGCGGAAGTGGTGGCTTTCCCTTGGGCTCTTGGCCGAGCTAGAAGCGAGGAACCTGCTCCCTGACCAAGCGGCTCTGCCGGCATTTACAGAACTGTGCCACCCTCCCATGCGGCCCCAAAGTCTTAAGTAAGCCGCTGCGGATCCTGGGAGGTTTACTGGTATTGGTGGACAGTATACCACTTGGACAGCGCTGTCACCAATGCTTGCCACCACCGGCGCTGCTGCTGATGTGGTGGTGGTGCTGCTGCTACTGCCGCTGCCGCTGCTGCTAATGCCGCTGTTACAGGTGCTACCACAAACGAAGACCATGCAACTTCCGCTTGCTGCTGCCGGGGTGGCGACTGCCGATTATGCTTCACGCAGTTACCAGCTCTACAGTCAAGTCTTAAATTTGACCAGCTTTCGGCTTCCTAACATGAACCTCGCTCACTAAGTCACTCACTCACTTCGTGCCTTCAGCGTGCATGCTGCACGCTGCACAACCGCCTGTGCAACAATCTGCAAACCTGTGTACGGTAGATTCCGGTAGATCAAATCGCACGAGAACGAATTGAGATGTCTACACATGTGATGAGTTCATCGAGTGCTCCACATGTTCCACTTTATATGGTTCCTCCGTGATCACAGTATCGCCCCCTCCCCGAAGGTTCATCAAGGACATTCAAGGACCAGAAACAGACGTTTGATCAATCTTCTTGACTTCTTCCCTCCCCTCAAACTGCTGTGTTGCAAGCGAGCAGCATGCCGTGAACACGGGCGTGGACGGTAAGCACTTCCAGAAATGCAGGCGCCAGCACAAGCAGCCTGAACTAAAGCCTCTTAAACCTGCCAGCATGGAGGAAGAGATTCTGTCCTTGCACTGAGGTTTGTATGGGCATAGCTCTGAATGCCTGCGAATGGTCGCGGAAGTGGAGGCATGCAGTAGCTCTCCTACGTCGAGTGACAGGTTCCCGGAAAGATGGCGCAGACCCGCCCGAAGAAATTGATTTTTTAGGTCTCACTGCTGCAGAGTGGAGGCCTTTGGAGAAAGTCCCTTGCTTCAACAGATAAGAGTTGTAAGTTTTCATGGGCTTTTCTCGGCACGTGAAGAAGAGATGCATGTTCGGACGGGGAAGTCGAAGTGAGGCACTTGGCATTGGTGGGGAATTGCCAGAAGATCCTGACGAAGATCCTGAGCTTGAGAAGAAATGGCAGGAGTTTCGTCGCCGCCACCAGGTCTCGGATGTGTCGGATGCGATTGCGGAGGAAGACTGGAAGGCGGCAGAGCAGGTGGTGCACACGCTGGGGCCGCTTGGTAAACAGAGAGAAATTGACATCAACACCTACATTTACAGAGCTGCAATTGGAGCAATCTCACGCAGTCACAAAGTCGAGATGGCTTGCGCTGTTTTGGACGAGATGTTTGATCGGTTTGCGTTGACTGCCGCAGTGACAGATGTTGTAAGCGGCTGTGCAGACGTCAGTGACTGGTGCCGCGCTATTCATCTGCTGACCTTGCCCGATCACCCAGACACTGTACTTTACAATGCAGTCATGGAAGCCTGCGGCCGCGCGGCGCAGTGGGAACGCGCAACTCACATTCTTCAGCAGTTGGCAGTGGAGCGGCTGTCTCCTTCTGCGGTCACATTCAATACATTGCTGTCCTGCTATGTACGGTGCAAGAAGACTGGAGAGGTGGAGACGCTCCTGCGAAGCATGCAAGATTTCAGAGTTGCTCTAGATAGAGTTACTGAAAGCTTGTTGGAAGACGAGACGTTGCTTCGGTCTGCACGAATTCAGGCCCTACGCCGGGGCACCATCACTCCACTGGAAAATGGCTTGAGCCTGCATGAAGGTGGCTTCGCTCTTGAAGGTCAGAGGTATTTGTCCCAACAGTTTCCTCTTGCCTTGGCTCAGAAGCTTTTCTTGTATGTTCTACTTTGAGCCACGTTCAACCCGCATGATGGCGCTGTGTCGAGCTTTTGCATCTTGACCGATTTCAATCCATGTGTGATGCGTGCCCGGCCAATCCAGCCACGTGGTTAAGAATCTTGATGCATGCCAAGATGCACAGCTGCTACCAGTAGTGACCAGACCGACCAACAGAAGGTTTGTAACATAATGGACCAAAATCCAGAGAAGAAGTGCGCTAGTTCTTGCCGCTACTTGTACTCCAGACTTCGAAGAGCAATGTCAGCAGTGAGGGTGACGTTGGCCAGAAGAGTAGCTACATTTTTGTACTAGCAACAATGACCTCATCAACTGGCATGAGTCTCGGTAGCCGTAGGTGGGAGACTCAGTCGTCAAACTCTTCATCCCGACGATACTGCTGAGTAGAACTCAGCATTAGTGGCTGATCGCACTCCATGCATGGGAAGCAAGATGGCAATGACTGCATTGCCACAGAGATACCTAGAACCAGTTGCTCGCGATTGTAGAATAATACTGCTTGGCCCAAGTTAGATGCGAACCGTTCGTTATTGTAGTGGTTGTCGTTCAACTCCAGTCCAATCTTCCTCGCCTGTCGCTCTGTCTCTTGCTCTCTCTCTCTCTCTCTCTCTCTCTCTCTTTGTCTCTCTCTCCCCTCACTCTCTATTGCTGTCTCTCTCTCTCTCTCTCTCTCTCTCTCTCTCTCACTCACATGCACTACGGCTACGGCATAATCAGGCAGCCTTTTGGTATGCCACCGCTGTCCTAGCGGTGGCTGCTGAGCCTGCCGAGCCGTGTACAACTTGCACAAAAGAAAGCAAAGCTCCAGGCATGCCTGCAGGGGTCCGAATTCAGAGCCTACTGCGCCATGCAGTAGACGTGGAGGTTTTTGCGGGTATTGTCGCTCTCCTGCTTGTTGTGTGGTGCCGGTGTTGAAGTTTTGCTGCTGCTTCTTCTTCTTCTTCGTTGCTGCTGCTGTTGCTGCTCCTGCTACTGCTGCTGCTGCTGCTGCTGCCGCCGCCGCCGCCGCCGCTGCTGCTGCTGCTAGGTTGCTAGTCTCATTCTTGTTCTTCTTGTCACTGCTGTTCCTAGTCCTTCTCATTTTGTGCAGTGTCTCACGATCTGTCTTGTGTCTAGAGCTCTTGCCAAGCTTATGCTGTTCCTCGCCGTTCTGAAGATCATGTATTGTTCGGGAGGTGTTCTGTTGATGCAGACGAAGACCGGCACCCTTACGAAGGC